AAATCCATCTTTGAACATGGAAGGTTAAATTGTCACTTAAAATGGCTGGATTACTGAATATAAATTGGTTTCTTTCTAGCCAAAATACTGATGTTTGGAAACCAGAGAGGATCAGCTGCTCCTTCTCTTACTGAGATAGATGGTCAGTAAGAGGAAGCCTCCTTTGACTTTAGACAGAAGCTCTGGGAAGGCCCAATATCTGTTCTGCCTTGATCTCGTCTCTGGTCATCTGATGGCAAGGAAAGGTGAATGCAGAGCAAGCAGTTGGTCCAGAAGACAGTGTGCCCCAGTGCCTGGGCAGCCTGACCTGTCTGCCACCCCAGGTCTCTATAGAGCTCAGAATAGCCCACCCGAAGCTGTCTCCAGACCCCTCTCAGCAGCTTGAGGGAGAGCAAATGACCACACACAGAGATGTTTGTTCTAATTCAGAGTGTCCATGTTCTTCCTGCCAAAGAGTCACCTGCTTTTGGACTTGACCCCTGCATGTCCTTGGGGGAGAAGTGGTAATGATGGGAGAGGCCAGAGGAGAATCTAAAGGAGGAGCTGACTCGGGATTTCCATCCTGCCAGTCACCCAGCAACCTCTGCAGGGTGTGCAAAGCCCTGCTCTGCATCTCTGCAGGCAAACTCAGGCTGTAAAATGAATGCAAGGCAGGTGTGGCAATGGGGAAAAGAGGGCAAGGGGAGGAATAACAGTGTAGCTTGATTAAAATGTTAACTCTTAACCTTTTAACAATTCTGACCTGAAAAATATTGACAGCCGATATGGATAAGGTACTTTGCAATTTGTTATCTCATTTTATTCTCCACCTATTTTATAGTAAAGTGAACATTTACAATGTATCTTAGTCTATTCAGACTCCTATAACAAATGTACTGTAGACTGGAGGTCCGAAAGAAAAATGTGTATTTCTCACAGTTCTGGAGGCCGGGAAGTCCAAGATCAAGGTGCCAGCTGATTCAGTGCCTTCTTCCTGGTTTCCATTTGGCCATCTTCTCACTGTGTCCTCACATGGTAAAAACAGATCAAGAGAGCTGTAAGGGCACGAATCCTATTAATGAGGGCTCCAGGTTCATGATCTAATTACCTTTAAAAAGAGTCATCTCTACCAACAGATTAGGGGTTAGTATTTCAACATATGAATGTTGGGGATACATATTCAGTTCATAACACCATGTGACAGGCAGTATTCTAAAATATTCATGAAAATCTAACTAGATAATAGAGTTTGGTGGCAATTTGGATGGAGTCTGAAGAAGTTATCCTTTACAATATTGCTTTATGGAAAAGAGGCTTGTTCTATAAGAAGAGTGCATGAGGCTTTCCACTAATGACTGCTGGTCTGGCCCAGGCTTCCTAGTTGCTCCTGTCAAGTCAGGGGCTTAGGATGCAGCCCCTTCAGTTCCCACATAGCCATGCCCATCACAGGCAAGGTCACTTGTGGGGGCTCCTTTCAGAAAACTTCAGTGTGGGGAACAACCCTTCTTGCTGTGTGGGTGAGGAAAACCCAGGTCAATCCTTCTCAGTAGACTACTTTGAGAATTCTTTAAGGAGCTTTAAAAGTATCCTTCCCAGGCTCCAACCCAGGCTAGTGAACTCAAGTCAGGGTTGTGAAACATTGGCCTCTCAGAACAAAGGCCTGGAAAACCTTTCTGTGTCACATGACAAAAATCTTTTTCTTAACGCCTGACCCAACTAGAGCTGCAGAAAAAACAAGCAAATGGACACACCAAGACACCAACTGGTTTCTGAAGGTTTCATCTGGTTATCAAAGATGCAGAAGCTACAACTTTGTGCACATCCTTAGTCAAATTCTTAAACTGAAAATTTAGGTGAAAGTGATTGCTCAAAATATATGGGCATTTCAGAGACTTTTCAGACAAATTTCCTGATAAAAAAACACATAGTCTCTCCAGAAGTGGGAAGAGTGCCATTTCTTTGAGCCTTTGCTAATACCATACATTTATACTTAAAAAGTTTTGCCAATTCATAAATGAAAATACAATAAATATTCATTGAGTAATCACTTTTGTGCAAAGCACTACATTGAGCAATGTGTTATTTTAATTTCAAAATGTTTAGTTGCTTGCTGAGATGGAACATCTTTTCAGAAATTCAGTATTTTACACACACACACACACACACACACACACACACACACACACACTCTCTCTATTTGTAAAGCTCACTCTGGCTGTGGCAAGATGATAAATGCACAGTGGGAGGGGACTGGGGGTCCAGAATGGAGATAGGGAGACATGTCCAGAGGCCATTGCAGTGCTGCAGGTGGCATCTAAGGGTGGCTGGGCTGGGTGTAAGAAGTGGAGGTGGTGAGAAGGGGCCACACTTAGGACATGTGGGGGAAAAGCTAATAGTGTTTGTTGATGGATATGGGTTATAAGGGGAAGAGGGGAAACAAGAATGACTTGGAGGTTTTCAGGCTGAGCAACTGAGTGGGTGGTGGCCTCATTTCCTTAGGATGGAATAGGTTAGAGTGGGGAAGGGTGGATCAAGATTTCTTTTAAGTGCAAGATGCCTATTAGACAAGTGGAGATGCTGAATCAGCAGTTGGATTTACAAGCGTGGAAATCAGGAGGGATTAGGTTGAAGATACAGATTTGCAGGCCAGAGTACAGATAGTTTCTAAGGCAGTAAGAATGGGTGAGATCTATGAAGACGATGAGAACTGGGGCATGTAATAATTTAAAGTTCTGGGAGAGGAGCAGAATCTAGCAAAGGAGAGAAAATGAACAACTGGGGAGACGAGATCTAATGAGTTTGCTGTCAAAGAAACCTAAGGAAAAAATATTTCAATAGTGTTGGCCAGGCAGGGTGGCTCATACCTGTAATCCCAGCACTTTGGGAGGTGTAAGGTGGGTAGATCATTTGAGATCAGGAGTTTGAGACCAGCCTGGCCAACATGGGGAAACCCCGTCTCTACTAAAAATACAAAAATTAACCAGGCATAGTGGCGTGTGCTTGTCATCCCAGCTATCTGGGACACTGAGGTGGGAGAATCACTTGAACTTGGGAGGCAGAAGTTGCAGTGAGCCAAGATCATGCCACTGCACTCCAGCCTGGGTGACAGAGTGAGACTGTCACAAATGTCTCAAGAAGAAAAAGTGTCAACTGTGTTCAGTGAGATGGGGACAAGAAATTGATGTAAACTTTGACCATATGTTTGTTAAGTGCTGTTTTCTTGGTGCAGTGAGGACAGAATCATGATTACAGTGGTTAAAGAGGAAGAGGAGATGGTGACAAATCTCTTGAGGAATTTTGTGTTGAGGGGAACAGATAAGTGGAATAAAATATGTATCTGATCTTGGAATCTGGGAAAGATTCAAAAATGATGTGTTCGTAGGCTCATGGGAATGTTCTTCTCTGTGGGAGAAATGGATGATGCCAGAAGGAGAGGGAATAATGGCAGAACCTTTTACTTATCAATGAGAAGTCAAGAGAGAATGGGGTATAAACTACAAGGGGAAGGATTATCTTTGGTTTTTCAGGGATATTTCTTAGGCAGTGAAAATGGAATAAGGGGTACAAATGCAGACCAGTTCATGGATTTATTAAAATGGAGTGAGATGTGGACATCCATCTTGCACCCACATATGTTGACTGCTTTGTCTGCAACACTCTAGGTACCTCAAGGCATGGAGATCAACTTGCTCCTCAATACCACTTCCAAGTTATTTCATCTTCAAAAACCTCAGACTAAAGAGTCAAGCTTTTCTCTTATCCACTGCAGCCATCTACTCAACACCCTCCAATGCCCCACACCCCCTTTTTTAATTGCATTTAACATTCGGATCACTGGCTTTCTCTACATGTTGCTCATGTAGAACTTTGGGCAACTCACTGTGTACACAAGTTATGAGTCCAATAACCTGTTGCTCCAGATGCTTGATTTCCTCAATTCCAGTGCCCTTGAGGTGAGGTCCACCTCACCCTGCTGATAGTGGTAAGAGGCAGTCAAATTCCCAGGCAGATGGGGTGGGTCCCCAGTGAAATCACACCTTCAAACCAAAGACAGTTCAAAGCCTGAAAGCCAAGCTACAAGTCTTGGACCAGGTTGAGAGCCTCTCTTCTTGTTTGGTGTGCTTTCCTCTGATTGAGCCCCACCTTTCACCTATTTTTAATATACCTGCCTTTCCGTAATTGGTTTCTTACACTGTGTTTCTTACCCACCTTTGAGTGGTGCGTTTCTTGCATACTCACAAACCAATCAGCATGTACTCCCGCATTCTGAGCCTGTAAAAACCCTGGACTCAGCTACACGTGTTGGGGACTGCTATTTTATTTGTATATTTTGTTTCCTTATTATTGGATATGTATACTATTTTCAAATCTTTGCAAATATATGTTACAATCAACATTTCTATGTATATATGTATATTTTATTTGCCAAGTTATTACTTAGGGTAAATTTCCATGATCAGAATTACTGGATTGAAATATGGGAAAAGGGCCAGGCACAGTGGCTCATGTCTATAATACCAGCACTTTGGGAGGCCGAGGCAAGCGGATCACCTGAGGTCAGGAGTTTGAGACCAGCCTGGCCAATATGGTGAAACCCAATCTCTATTAAAAATAAAAAATTGCTGGGCGCGGTGGCTTACGCCTGTAATCCCAGCACTTTGGGAGGCCGAGGCGGGTGGATCACGAGGTCAAGAGATCGAGACCATCCTGGTCAACATGGTGAAACCCCGTCTCTACTAAAAATACAAAAAAAAAAAAAAATCAGCTGGACATGGTGGCACATGTCTGTAATCCCAGCTACTCAGGAGGCTGAGGCAGGAGAATTGCCTGAACCCAGGAGGCGGAGGTTGCGGTGAGCCAAGATCGCGCCATTGCACTCCAGCCTGGGTAACAAGAGCGAAACTCCGTCTCAAAAAAAAAATAAAAAAATAAAAAATTAGCCAGGTGTGGTGGCAGGCACCTGTAATCCTAGCTACTGGGAGGCTGAGGCATGAGAATCACTTGAACCTGGGAGATGGAGGTTGCAGTGAGCCAACATTGTGCCACTGCACTCCAGACTGGGCCACAGAGTGAGGCTCAGTCTCAAAAAAAAATTTCAAAAAAAAAAAAAAAAAAAAGAAATACGTGTAAGGTTTATAGCCATTTCCATGACCCATTGGTTTTAATTCATAATACATCATCTAACTTGGGAGGAAGTTTAGTTCTCCTTTAATGACTCCAGGCTGCTCCTCTTTCCTTTATCCATCTCCAGATACAGTTCCTCAGTTTCCTCTGACCCCCAAACATTCCTTTTTAGCACCGTATTTCCTCTTACTAACAGCTGTCACTCTTACCCTCCAGAATTTCGTTGGTAAATTTAACAGGTCTCTTGGATTTTTGTTGAACCTGCCATGAAGACAATCAGAAGAATTTGTTCCTGAATCTGATTTAAACAGTACAATATTTAGAGGTATCATGTTACAGAGGAAAATATTTGAGAGCTGGAGAAACCTAAATTGAATTTTAGCCTTAGCATTTCCTAGCTAAAAATGCTATAAAATATGTGCAGATGTAGATGTGATATGAAAATTACCTTGAGCAAGTCTTTTATACTCTCTAAGCTTAATGCGTTGAACTATAAAACGACTCTAATGAGAATATTTTCATAGAGTTGGATAGAGACAAATGTGAAAATGCCTTCTGGCACATTTCTGGTGTGTGAAAATTATTACTGTTACTCATTTTTTTTCTGTATTCATTGGCTTTTGATCATTTTTGGAACAAATGACCTAATGTAGCTGTTGGTGGTATCATTGCCTGTCAGCCAAAACTCCCAAGAAATACATCTGCAGTGGAACAAATTTGCCTGTGTTACTTGTTGCAACAAAGGAGACCACACACCATAAGGGAATCAGGAAGCATTTCAGGATTTAAACCTGTTACGTGGTTTTGGAGGGTGTTTGAAGAAGCAGAGGACTCTCCTGTGTTGGATACTGTCAGGAAGTAAAATTAAATATATGCATGGACAGCTTAATATTTTACCTAGGAAGTAGCAGAAACGGAATGGAACTGAAGATGTAATTGGCAAAAAGGCAATGGCCACTCATGTGAGCTCAGAGAGGAAGAAACTGGATTGCTTTTTTTATAGTATTTCCAGTATTGTTGTGTTTGTACTCAGACGTAACTTCCGAGGAATTTGACTTTTATCCTACTCTATCGTGGTCCCACATTGAATTCATCTGATATCAGTGTTCTGTGAAATTGTTTATCTTAAGTAGACCATCATGGTCTTGCTGATAGTGCAAGCAGACAGCTTTTGGATATGTTTTTCTTCTAATTCTCACTTTTGGTCAACAGCAGATCAAGTGAGGCCACAGGAAGTTAATCCATGATATTGAGGATTTTCACCATTATTGCGATTCTGCCTGTTGGGAGGCCGTCCAGAAAACATTCTTTGTATTTGAACAAGTTAGTACCTCTTATTCCTTTTGTTATCAGATGAGTTGTTGAGTGATCTGACATGACAATGGCTATGTGTTTTAGACTCAGTACAAGATGCATCAGTCAAGTGATTTCTAGGCAACTGTGAAAGACAACATGACTATTTATTAGTCTTTCAAGTCCAGGGGACAAGGTGACTAACTCCAGGCCATGAAAACATGAGCCAAAGTCCAAGTGGGTCTGCTCTACGGATCTATGTTATGTACCTTTCTTTCAGTCTAATCACAGACTGTTCCATCTCTCCAATTGTATATATGTTGATGACACAGGGAGTGTTTACTATAGCATGAATTCCCCTTTAACTAGTAAATTTAACTAGTTTATTTTGGGCCTTCACATTAGAGGGAGTTTGTACTTAAGAGTAATACTGTATGGGGCACAGAACCTATTGAATGACAATCACTTTTACAAAAAAAGAAAAAGAAAAACCAAATCCTCTACTTCTAATTTTACTAATTTTATATGTTATTCCTGTAACAATTACAGGGAAAGATAAGTAAACCTTCATGGCTGTATTTAGGTATATGCATGTATATCAACATAAAAATAAATGATAAATGTAAATATTTTAACTATAACTTTAAAATATAATTGACCTGTTGAAATATGTTAAAACAATATATATATTATACTATATCATCTTAATACATTGTAATGATTTAACAATCAAATCACAGCAATTATCTTATATCACATTCCTATTTTCTGTAATGATTGCACTAGTCTACTCAACCTGTTAGGTGGTTTTGGGGGGTATTTGAAGAAGCAGGTGCTCTAATAACACTCCAAGGAGCCACTCCAGGAGTTCAGACTGGAACCCAACTCATATAATGTATATTATTATATGTAGCCAAAGTAACCAGCGTTCTGCCCCAAACTCAAAGGAAAACTAGAAAACTCTTGAATTGTTTTACAATTTTAGCCAATTTCAACAAATTTAAGTTAGCAAAACAAAGGTATGTAATCATAAAAGTCATCTGCATACCCTGTTAATTTGTAGCCATCTTAAGAAATAAGGGTAAATTAAAATTTTATTAAGTCTTTTGAATCTCATTACAAATTGTCTAGGTATCAAAGATTATTTGTTGATTCAATTTAATATTTGTCTTAGGTCTTCAAGTTGCTAAAGGTTATGACTTTAATTAATGCATTAGCTCCTTCTGTTTTGTTTATAGTACTAAAAGAAATTTTATAAGATTAAATGGTTTAAAATAGTATCTTTTTACAATTCAATTTAATTATACAGTGACTCCCTTGATGAGAGATTCCCATTATTAGTTCCTTTTCACAGATAAATAAGCTATCTACTAAGTATTTATAAACTATTTAGTACAGTTAGGCATCATTCTGAAGGGTTCACAACTTAATCAATTTCATTTTGATACTGTGTTTTATACACTGTGGCTATTCGATGTGGATCTAGACAATGATTCCCTTTTGTAATTTCATCTTATGGATAATTTTTGTTACATATGCTAAGAGTGTAAGTGAGCCGCTTTGAGGAATATTAGGTATGTTTTAAAGAAAAGAATTCATGTAAATATCTGTTTTTTAAAGCCAATCAATATTTATATAGGTATGAAACAATGTGTACATTTGCCTTTTAACTATAAAAACAAATGCAACATTGAAAGTGAAAAAAATTTCTATTGCTGATACTTTTACTACTCACATTGTTGAGGTTATAATGAACTCATAATTAAAATTAAAATACAGTTTTTATACTGTTTAAAGGGCAAAATAAAAAGTAATTATATATATAATCATTTTGTAAATGATATAATTTATAAATCCCTGAAAATTATAGCTTCATCTAGCAAAAATATAATCTCTTAAGCAGCAGCAGTTGCATAAACTAATAAGGAAAGGGGCACAATTAAATTTTTTTCTAAGCAAGACAAAGGAAAGCTCCGAGTTTCCTGGTATAGTTTTGGAAGCGGAATAGTTGAATTGTTTGAAGATTGAATTAATTTTGCAGGCACACACTTTTGTTTTCAGGCTGTAAAGTTTGGGGGAGATCTTGATGTTGATGGCAGTGGTGGGATCCATGCATGGCATTTGGAAGAAGGAGAGAAAGGAAGAGAAATAGGGGAGGAGAGAGGAGGAAAATGAGGCCATGAAATACCTTACACAGTTCCTTGGATGGAAGGAGGAACGGGGTGAGCATAACCTGGCAGCTTAGGCGGGAGCTGAGCGGAGGGGCGGGGGAGCTCTGTCTTCGGATTTGGGAGGCCCCCATGCTGTGAGGGACCAGCTGTGCAGGGCCAGTTGTGTACCTGTTCAGAAGAGTGCTCTGTTCAGAAGAGCTACTTGCAGTGGAATGACACATAGTTCATCTTCTAGCAACTGGACCTTTCCCTGGACCTCAGCTGTCTCCTCTTGTTCTTAGCCTGGACTTCTCTTCTCTTCCTACAGGTTCTCCTAAGGAACTGAGTTGATCTTCAGCTCTCAGGGTTTTCTGGTAGGCTCCAGGTTTCTTCTGACATCCTAAAGGCCAATGCTCTTTAAAAAAGATTCTAGCTCCATAGCCTCCTTCCCGTCAGAGCTGAGAATATCCATGGTTTTGCATTTCTCCTGAATCAATGGACATGTTTTTCTTCCAGCTGTGTCCCTCTTTTAACATAAAGTTGGATTTCAGCTGATTAACATATATGGAAAAAAAAAAAGGTATGAAAATCCAAATATGGCTGCACATGTCCCAGACTCTCACAAGAGGCTGAGGAAGTTGAGGTCAGGCTCAGGTTGGGCGGGGTCATGGCAGCCTCCCTACTCACTTTCCTAAGGATGTTCTCCAAGGGGCGCTGCACAGAGGGCACCCGGGGCACCATCCCATAGCCATGGCTCCACAAGACCACACTCCACACACGCCACAGAGCGACCCCAAGAGTTCAGCCCGGAACCCACATCAGTGCCTGGGAAGCAGAACTTGGACCTTGGTAGAGGGTTGGACAGACTCAGTGAAGAATACCTGTGCCCTGGGACTGGCCAGCACATTCAGTTCCCTCCCTCCTCTCTCTCGTAATCACATGCATGAGACATAAGGAAACACTGAAAGACTAGTACATTGATCGTCCCTATAGGTACCTGCTAGACAGAACAGTTGACATTTTCTGATATTTACTTCTACCTTTGCCTCTTTTTTTTTTCTGAAACAGTTCAAAGTAATAGATGACTTGACATTTCAGCTTGCATTTGAAAATCATATGCACATTATACCGCATTTCCATATGTCACTGTGCTCTTTTGTTATGCTCATTTTCCAGATGAGGAAAGGAACTGAAGCACAGAGAAAGAAGTTACACAGGAAATTGCAGACCTGAAATTTATTTACATCTGGTTCTCAGTAGCTCTGAAGGCTGTAAGAAGATTTTTACAGTGGTCTTTCTGACTGCGTGGAGGAGAAGGCCTGAGGTCAGTGCCTACCCTTTCTCAATCTCCCTGGCACTCTCTTACGTCCCTTTTCAGCAAAGAGAGGGCGCTCCTCAGGTACAGAATGCTTGCAGGCACAAAGTCTCTCCAACTTAATAAGGTATTTTAACATTTACGTTTCATTTTATACTTATCTATCATTTATGGCTATATTTTTGCATATGTCCATGTTTTATATTTTAAAAATGCATGGCAGTGGGTATAAAGGTTTTTTTTATATATATTTACTTAAGTAAAAGTGTTATAATATTGGTAGTACCTGGCAAAAAATTATAGCAAAAATTGTCCCTTTGATAGGTGAATTACTGAAGCTTTAGAAATACTGTTGCAAACCGTGTGAAAGGGCTGCTGTGGGTATAAACCACCCTTCCTCTGGCCGGGTCTGAACCTTAGGGGTGTTTCTGTCCTGTCCCCCCTTGTCTTGGCTGCCTGGGGGAAGAGAAGAAGCCGCCATTGGTGTGGCCTCAGTCGAAGGAGAAACTGGTGAGTCTTCTCCCTGGCCCCCTTTCCCACCTGTCCTGACGTATTTCTTCTGTTTTGCATTCCAAGTGCCAGCAACTGTTTTATGTCAAGTCTGCCATGAAATGTGCATCTTTCCCATGAGCAAAGGAAGAGGTGGTGGTGCTTACTCATCCCTAAGCCCTGGTTGATTTCTCAGATGCATTCTAAATAGCCAAGCAGTCTCCTCTAATAATAACAATAACAACAATGTTAGTAATAATTTCCTGTGGCCCAGACATGCAAACCAGTCCAGAAATAACCATGTGTGTGCAACTGGCCTTTTCCCACTGCTTCAGTAGAGGCTGATGTTATTCCTGTGGCCAAGCCAGAGCACCATCCTGAAGAAGGTAGAGCCAGCGTGCTGTGGGAGTTGAGGAAGAGAGCTGACACCTGAGCACATCTGCTGTGCCTGGCCCCTGAATTTGCCGTGTGTGGTGCACAATAACTAGAAATACACTTAATCCTAGATTGTATTAGTTGTAAAAGGTCTAGTAAAATTTTACAAAATAATATCCAGAGAGAAGATTGTTTTTAATAAGAAATATCAAGAGAGTGGGGAAAAGAGGGCAATTAAAAAAATAGTGGAGCTGGGCACTGTGGCTCATGCCTGTAATCCCAGCACTTTGGGAGGCTGAGGTGGGCGGATCACCTGAGTTCAGGAGTTTGAGACCAGCCTGGCCAACATGGCTAAACCCCATCTCTACTAAAAATACAAAAATTAGCCAGGCATAGGGGCATATGCCCGTAATCTCAGCTCCTCAGGAGGCTGAGGCAGAATTGCTTGAACCCAGGAGGTGGGGGTTGCCATGAGCTGAGATCATGCCACTGCACTCCATCCTGGGCAACAGAAAAAAAAAAAGTTGGTTTCTAAGAGTTGAAAGAAGCCATTTAGCAAGAGGGTACCACTGAGGGAGCTCCTAAGTGAGGCAGCCAAGGACCCTAAACTAGGGCCCATATCACAGTGACATGTTGACACAAAAGGTAGGTGTGGAATTCAGTGGGGGCATGAAAGAGGGTGCTGTGGAGAGCCCTGGGTGCACACGCCTTTGAGAGGGAGTGAACAGGGAATGACAAGGTTTGGTTTTTGTAAGAGCATGCGAAGCCAGTGTCATCATGGAGGTAGTTTCCCGGGGCCCACAGTGAGTCATGTGCCTGGCTGATACCACTCAATTTGTTGTGGTTTGAAAATCTCATATTTCTAAGGCTATCTTTCTGCTGCTGTGACATGGTGACCATGAGCTGGTAGAATGAGGCTTACTCTTGATGTCCTGGGTGAGCTGAACGTGGTGGCTGGATCTAAGGCTATGATCTGCTTGGATTGCACGCTCTGCCCCTGACATCTCCTGGGGCTGGCCCACACTGAGATCTTTCATTCTCATAGCAACCTTTGTAGGAGATACTGTCATGATCTTCCTAGTTCACAGAAGCATGAAGAGCAGTTCACTGTCTTGCCCACGTTTGCAAAGCTGGTAAGTGCCCTAGCCACAGGCAACCCAGGCAGCCTGATTCTGGATCCACACTCAAAATCTCCGAGCTATCCAGACCCTTCCCTGTTCTGGATCTTCCCCTAAATCATAGTCCTTTGGCAAATGTTTCATGTGAGAGGAGACTCAAGATTGGCCGAGGTTTTCATGCGGAGCAACTGTGTGGATGGTGGCATCATTTCCCAAGGTGAGGAATTGGATGGAGCAGTTCTGGGGGTGGGAGGAGTGAATCACGATTTCAATTTAGCTTGAGACGCTTATTAGACAGTAAAGTGGAGATCAGAGTCAGCAACGGCAAAACTAAGAACAGAGCCTTGTAAAATTTATCATTCCCCCCAGACTCTTTTCTACTCCATCAGGAATTTCTGCAGAGTCACTTGCGCATACACGTGTATGGAGATGAAGCATGGCAAAATGTCAAACATTGGTTATTGAATATAAGGGATGGTACGTGAGTATTCATTGTGTTCTTTTTTGTAATATTTGAATTTTTTTGAGTAAAACTTGACTTGGGAATTCTTCAGGAAACCTGTCCTGCCCTCTCCCTTTGCCCCAATGCTCTGCGCTGGTTCCTACGGGCTGGTGTGGGTTCCAGGCAGAATATTCAGGGTGGATCTGGGGTGTGTGTGGGGTATGGCCTGCTGGAGCCAAGGCTACCACAGGAGCTCTTGGGGATGGGCTTCAGGGCCATCCTGGGCTGTGGCCCTCTGCACAGCTCTCCTTGAAGGTGGTCCTTGGGAAGGTGAGGAGGGAGCGACTGTGACGTCTAAAGTCCAGGTTCTGACTACTTCTGTCCCTGGGAATCAGTGACATGCGAAGCTGTGGCTAGATTTTTCATAGACTTCTAATATGTATTCAAAAAGCATCCAGAAGTTTTTATTTAGCTAAAGGTTGGCTTTATGTTAAGTAGGAGGCAGTTGGCACAGAACTTGCCTGTTAAGGAAGAATATAAATCCACTGACAACCTTAGCTCTGATACAATGGAGATGGAGTCTTCTCTAGGGAGTGCTAAGCTCCAAATTAGCTGTGGGGAGCCATGTGCAGGAAAGCCACCCTGAGTTGAAGAGGACCCGCTCAGTGGTGTGCCTTGTGCCCCTGGCCATCTCTCCAAGGCAAAACGAACAGGCACAGTGCCCATAGTCCTGCCCACTGGGAAGATTTCCATTCACTATTGCCTTTCAGAGCTGTCTCAAACTCGGATGGTAGTGCCACAGCCCACTCCCAGGTGGCGTCTAGATATCAGGCAGATCTGCCTGCCAGACAAGCCTGTTTCTTCCCCATCAGTCATGGAGGACTCCCCATGAAGCCATATATGTGGGTTGAGAGAGAGAATGCAGTGTAGCAAGGGAAGGGGGCCTGGGCGTCTGAGGACCAGTGAATCTGGGGCGAGGGCATAGGCACCTGCTGGAGGTCGGACCATATATACCACTTCCGCTTGATGATGGAGCACTGCTTTGTATTCTCAACTTTATGACTCGGTGGGTTAGAAGGTACCCAACAAATAACATGCAGCTCTCTAAAAGCTGTTTCTCTAAAGGAGAGTAGTTATCAGCATAGAACCACAGGTTTGCTCCCAAATCGTTTGAATCTACACTGTGATTTACCCTAGAGAGTTCTGCCAAACACTCCACACAGAATGCCTGTTTGCCACTGACATTTCAAGCAGCATCAGTTCTTATGGGTTCTGTGTCCCAAATGAGAAGCATGCACGTCAGCCTGGACCTATTGTAGAACTCCTTGTCTTGTGAATCCCACTCAATGCTGGAAGTCTTGTGGATCGCTAGGTAGATGGGTTGGAATAACACATCCGAATGAGGTATATATTGCCTCTCAAACCTAGAAAGGTTCACCAGGGGTTGTGCCTCTTTCTTAGTGGTAGAAGGGGCCAGATACAACAGCATGCCCTTCAATGTGGAGGAATACGTTGACATGCCTCGGACCATTGAATCCTTCAACTTTTCACTACAGTAGAAAGCTTCTGAATTTTTTGTAGCATAATTGTTTAATTTTTTTCTATGCTGTTGTATGTTATTTGTGGATTTTTTTGTGGTATCTTACCAATGTGGCTAGAAGTCATTTCTTCCTGTTCATCAGATCCAGTCAATATAACAGCCTCAATGCAATTGACCAGAATAATGTTCTGCAGCATGAAAAATGTGATCAAGATCCTACAGACCAGGGCTGGAGAGTTGATATACCCCTGCAATAGGACAGGAAAACTGGTGGCCTTCTCAGCTGAAAGCAAATTACTTTTCATAGTGTTTACTAAGAATAGAGAAACAAAGAGTATTTACCAGACCAATAGCAGCACACCAGGTGCGAAGGGATGTATTGATTTACTCCAGCAATGAAACTGTGCTTGAAATAACAGCTGCAATTGGAGTCATCATCTGATTAAATTTCTGATAATTCACTGTCATTCTGTTTACTGCACAGGTCAAATCAGCGAGTCAAATGGGGATTGGTAGGAATCATCACCTCTGATCTTTCAGGGGTCCTATGTTGGCACTAATCTCTATAGTCCCTCCAGGAATGAGATATTGCTTTTGGTTTGCTTAAATTCTTATGATAGAAGCTGCTTAGTAGCTTTTACTTGGATTCTTCTATTATAATAACCTAAGCATACAAATCAAAATGGCTGCTGCTTCACTTTCACCCTCCAAATCTCAGGCAAAATGCCTCTTGAGGCTCACCTGAACCAGAAAGGAATTCTGGGAAGCATGGCTCAGCCT